AGTGAGTAATTTATCATTCTTGCTCCTCACCAGTATCGTGTTCCAACAGTGAGTGGCTACAACAAATACAATTAGACAGCTGGCCACAGAAGTGGGAGATAATGTGCTTTTGATGGAGTTTATCCAAGCATGGAGATGGAATGTTTGTCATCCGTGCAGCGGAGTTGCCGCGTTTTTATCACAGGGAAAAGAAAGCCCTGGCTATTAAAACCCAACAATTCTGTGTTTTAAAGATCAAGAATCTGGAGCTCACCGCAGAGGAGGCTACAGATAATAAATGAGAAGGAGAAATCCCTCTTTGTAACGTGGTGGAGCAGTATTTCCTTTGCTCAGAAATCAGGCATTCAAGGTGTGTTTAACTGTGGTTCTCAAATCCAGATTTCCAACCTCCAGCTTAAAAAAATTCAGTTTCTCACCTCATATGAGAACCAAAGACTCCTTATGTTAATACTTATTGTTGGTTCCCAAGTGGATGACTGGACATTAAGAAATGAAACTACCTTCACATTTAAGAAGAATTTGGTCAGAATAATTTTCTCCAGTCACCTCAGCTTCCATTCCCTTCCTGAAGGTTTTAATACATCAGTCACGTCCTCTGGTTCATTATCCTTCTTTCACCCCCTTCCTCCCTCCCACTTTTTATGCACATCCCCTGCTCTTTGACAACATCTCCTGGGAGCAATGAAGAGATACTGCCATTTTCCTCTCAGGGGATATTGTTATTCAGCTAGGAAAGATCAACCTTGATGGACTCACAGGGGAACTGCTCGCAAACAAAAGAGAAAGTTTGTCAATTGATTTCTATACTGAGGGTAAATCACCATTATATTTTATCTCAAAAGCTCACACAGTGATCAACTTGGAATACAACTAATGGAGTATTTTTCTAGCAGCATCTACTGACTGATATTAGCCAGATGTCTCATTAAAATCAGCACTGACAAACCTTAGTTCTTTACCAGCAAAACACACTTTTGCAGGCTAATTAATTTTTTTTTTTTTTTGGCCATTATGTTTGTAAGACTGAAATCAAGTCAGTTTGCAAAAAAGTGCTTTGGAATGTTTTCATGTGATGATTCCATGCAACCGTTCCATGCTTCAAAAAATCCTCAATCTTTGAAAGCTAAAATAAGGATAAATAAAATTAATGCTGGAAGACACTACTTTGTGGCAAACCAATGCAAGGAATAAAGGAAAAATTAACAGAAACAATATGTGCTCTGAAAAAAGCCATAACTAAACCCCTCCATAATTTTTGAAAGACTGAGCATCACATACAAGGTCATATTTAAATATGGTTTTTTTTGCTCAATCATTTCATATTTCCCAGGGGTTTTATGATTCATTTTTTTTCTTGAAGACTTGATAATTTCTTGAACATCTGGAAGAAAAAGCTATTTAGAGCCTTAAGCATTTTTAAGGATATGACTCAATACATTGCAGGATCATCTGCAATACACTCAAGATGCACCGACAGCAAGACACGAGGCTGATCTCCTACAAGCACGACCTAATACTCTGATAGCTCCTTTTTTTGGTCATGCAAAAGTGTGAGAGTAATTTCAAATAATTTATAGGTGGGAGGACAGAGAGATCAATGTGCCAATGCTGTGCTCTGGGGTTTTGTGAACTGCCTGGTTTTTCTGTTTCACACAAGACCATCACGACGTTCGGGCTTCACATCCTCACGGCCAGAAACAGCCCCGAGGAAGAACCAAGGACAGATTTTAGAGGAATTTAACATCCTTTTAACATGTGCAGGTAATGGTAGGACAAGGAGGTTTTAAACTAGGAAAGATTTAGATTAGATATCAGGAAGAAATTCTTACTGTGAGGGTGGTGAGACCCTGAGGTTGCCCGGAGAAGTTGTGGCTGTCCCATCCCTGGAAGAGTCCAAGGCCAGGTTGGATGTGGCTCTGAGCAACCTGATCCAGTGGGTGGCATCCCTGCCCGTGGCAGAGGAGTTGGAACAAGATGACCTTTGAGTCCCTTCCAACCCAAACTATTCCGTGATTTTGCCACAGAAATGTGAAGGGCAGCCTCTCCTGGCCTGAGGGATCCCGGGGGTGTTCCAAGTCGCGGTCAGAGCAAATGTGACAATGAGTTGGTAAAAAACCCTGCATTATGGTTCTGATTCCTGCCAGCTTTTACAGCTTACTGTCCTGTTACCACAGCCCTGCACTCAGGCTGATGGGAGGAAGCCACAGACCCTACAGTGGCTGTCGCCTCCAGGGCTGTCAGCTCAAAGTCCAACTCCTCAACCATTATTTTACCTCCTCCAAACCACAACTCTTTTCTCTGAGTACTTGCTAAATTACTTCCCATCAGTGCAAAGCTGCCGCAAAAACGAGTTCAGCAGCAGTAACCCTGCGTTCCTTCCATGCTGCTGACACATTTCAACGTAAAGAATGTCTACCTTAGGCTGATCTGCAACAGGATCCCCAGAACAATCAACGGATCAACGTGCACCCAAGTTTTCCACTTCGTCTGGTTTTTAATAACAGATTACTCCACAGAGAGTTCCAGTTCTCATGGTAACACTGGTCTGATATTAGTTTTGCTGTTGATGGCAACAATAAGACAACCAAACCTGTTTCCACACCTCTATAGCTGGGAAAAAGCTGCTTTGAGATGAACTTCAGGTTGGGAGTTTAAAAAAACCCAGACACATACAAGCGTATAAGGATAGATTTCCAGATTGCCATTTTGGTGGAATGTTTTTTTGTAAGTGAAACAGAAATACTTTAAAATGTTTGTATTTACAAAAAAACCAAACCTGCGAAAATCATAAGAGACAAGTACAAAGCACAGAATTGCAGGGAAATATAAGCAACTTTCTCCTTTTGTGCAGAAAATAAAAAGCCAGCAGAAAAACAAAACACTTATGCAAACAAAGAAAAACATTAAATATTATTTTCAAAGGACAAATTGCAATCTTAAAGCACCTCCTCAAAAATTCTCAACATAAATAATGGACTTTTATTGTTCATTTACTGCAAGGTTAGGCAGCCTGATATGATGGATGAACTGTCAACTCTCAACTAAACTTCTACAATCCATCATAGAAAGACTGGAAATTTCACTCAAAGTGTCAATATACCTAAATGATGAAGTGCAAAATACTTTACAGCATTCTGATCATTTTTTAGAACCTGCCTTTGCTGCAAAATTTCAGAAACACTGCTCTTCCCCACCTCCCTCCCCTTCTCCCTGGAAGTCATAAAATGCAGGTATACATCTTGATTTATAAGTCAGTGATACCACAGAATCACAGAAGAGAAATGAAGTTTCTGTAAGAGTCTGGTGCTGGGGAACACAGTGTTTATAAAATAAGCTATTTTACTTGACCCAGACATCAGAGATGGCCAAGATTTTGTGAAGATTTCTGATGAATCAATTATTTCTATGTGGTCATATTAAGAAAATTAAACCAAGGCTGCTGTGGAGCTTGATCTCAAGTCAAATCTGACCCCGCCTTGAGACAAGTAGAATTATCCTATGATTCTATGACAACTAAAAACAGGAGAGAGTTTTTTTTGTGGACACACAATAAAACATGCAGACTTCCATTTAACAAACCCTAAGATGTTATTGTGTCTTTACTTAATTTGGTGATAATTGACAAATAAATATGAAGTATCTGTACTTCAATTCGAAGTTGTAACAATGATTTAAACTATATACAGGGGAAAATTTCACTTTATGACACCAACACTTACTCCACCAAAAGAAGAAAGCTGTGCACCATAAGCTAAGTCGAATCATAAGGGTATCCTCACAGAGGCATCAACCTAAACACTTTTAAATGTTCATGTTGGAACACCTAATTTATTTTAGCTTTAAACACACTCCTAACATCTTCATTTCAGAAGTCACTCACACCCTCCCAATGAAATATGTTAAATAACAATATTTGGGTATCTTCCCTGACTTGTACTTCAAAAACAGAACACAAAACACACAACGCAAATTGCATGAGCCCCTGCAGAAAAAAAAATCAGGGACACATTCCATTAACCAAAAAAATCAGTGTTTCTCTGTTTTCTCATAACTACCAGATACTGAATGATGAAGAAATGTCACAGAATGAATGTGTATTTATGGGAATTCATACTGAACAATGTAGGCAGAACTTCAAAGAAGTGTTTGAAGTATGCCCTAGTACGGAGTTTTCATTTAATTCTAAAGCTCAGATTGAAAACTTTCTTTCTCTTCATGTTGACTAGGGTCTGATAGACAAAAACTCAATTGAGTGATATCACACTCAAGTTTGCTGAGATTCTTCACTCTATTTAATGCAGCATAATCTGTAAAACTAAGATGAATAGCTTGTGTTCACTGTAATTACAACTCCCCTCCAACCGAATTCCACAGCCTTTCTAGAATTAGTGTTCTGTTGAACTAAGCCATGGTCATTTACATAAAATGCAAACACTAACTTGCAGATAATAAATAAAACAGACCTAGTAAAAACCCTGGTTATCAGATTCAGATTCTAATGCTGTATTTGCTCCCCCCAGCCTTCACATCCAAAGTTCATGAGCCTCCCTGGTGGAGAAGCTGTCCTTGCCATATCAACTGCTGGGTGTTTAATACATTAGGTATAATCTACACCTTTCCCATATCTACTTTGTTTTTCACTAAACTCAGAAAAGCTCTTCTGACAGCAGTGACTGCATCATTCTTGAGCACAGGGGTAAACAACACGTCTGAACAGAAAACTTGTGTTTCAGAAAATGGGCTAGAGAACAGAACAGAATGATTCTAATGCTACAGCTCCTCACCTCTCCCTCTCCTCATCTACCTCTATTATCCTGTAACACCATCACTGGAGTTTCACATCCATCACCCTTTACAGAAAGGGCTCATTTGACACCTCTATGCTGCAGAAATGAATGTTTCAAGGCAAGGACTGATGATAAATGAAGCATAATTAGTGCATTGTCTCTCAGTCCAGCGCAATACTGGACCATATATGAAGAAACTAAAATTTGTCTTACCGTGCACTTTGTGCTCATTGTAATGCTCAGGCTGAAATCTGAAGAGAATTCCAAGTCTGGAGTGGATGCAGTGTTACAGTCGATGTGCTGTCAAAAAGAATAATAAAACTCTGTCAGTAACAGTGATTAATGTCAATTAAGATCTCCCTCTGGATGGAGGTCGTTCAGTTGCTCCCATAATAGGACAACTTCTATAGGGCAATAATAATTCAGCTCTCACAGGTGTGTCCCCAGAGGGGCCTGGACAAGCTGCAGAATTGGGCCTTTCACGAGGTTTAACAAGACCAAGTGCAAAGTGCTGCACCTGAGGGTGGGGAGGGCCTGGCACAGGTTGCCCAGAGAAGCTGTGGTTGCCCCATCCCTGGAAGTGTCCAAGGCCAGGTTGGATGGGGCTCTGAGCAACCCAGTCTAGTGAAAGGTGTCCCTGCCCATGGCAGGAACTGGATGGTCTTTAACCCAAAGCTTCCTATGATTCTTCATAAAACAAGCAGCACCTGACCTGAACAAACACACCAAAGTATCTTCTGCAATAATCATAATGATAGATTGGAACATCTTTAAACTTACCCTACAAAATATAGTTCATTTGTTCTGTGGAATGGCTATTGATTAAAACAATTTACCTATAATGCCACTGTTGCTCAACTCATCAATTTTACTACTTTGCAACGAAACTCCAGCAAACTAGCATATGCATTGATTTTGGGTTATTTTAAAAACCATGATGGCTAATGAGAACAAATAAGCATAAAGCCATTAAGCACAACAGTTATGCTACAGGCTGCATGATGATAGAATCTGCTACGCACACACCTCTGAGCTGGACAGTGACTTCTCATGAACAGCATATATATGAGAGAGAGACATGTGTACACTACTACCAGTCAAGCATTCTGCTTCTGAAAATGACCATGGCTTATAAATTGCATTGGGCATATTTATCTTTAGTTATTGCTATCAACACTCTTCAGGTTAAGATGCTGTTTTAATTTATTTGCTTGCCTGACCAACTGATCACTCACTCATTGCACCACCAAACCTGTCAAATGGCAAACAGTGACTGCCTCAGATTCTTGATCTCAGTACCTTTGTTTTGTGCACACTCATTCACTAAGGCTGGAGTTTTATCTTCCCTGTAACGACAGGACTATAAAGTGTGTTTCAACAACTGAGTTGATCACACTGATCTCTCCTTACACTCAAGGAACAAAGACACTTGTAAGCCTCAAATGAAACAACTTATTATAGATGTGCTTAGGAATTTTATTTCACTGACTCTGGAAGGAGTCCAGTCAACAAGCTCAGAGAACATGTACTGACACATCTGGAAAGATTCCCTCATCTATGAACAAAAGAATCCTGAAGTAAATCTCAAAAAAATAAACTAGAGATGCACAAGAACACCAAAGTAGTGATTAAAGTTGAAGAAATCTCAGTCTCAGCACTTCCTTTATTTGAATACCTGGTTTAAAAAAACTAATGACTTTAAATCTTCTCTCTAATAAAATTATAGACAAGAAAAGCTTAAGTAACTTGCACTTGGATATACTTACAACTAAACTGCACCTCCCCTGTTACAACACATTTAAACAGAAATTACCTCCTTACTAAACAGGTAATTCCCACTGAGGGCAATAATATTGCTGCTTTGAGTGCCTTACAGTAGAAAAGTAACCATATGAACAATAATTAGGATACCATTGTGACAAAACATTCTTGGTCTAGAACAGCCCTTCTCTCAGTATGATCTGAGCTGTTCAAACTATTACTAATCACAAAGCCCACCAGAAGTTCAAACCAGTCAGTGATCTGGGACTACACCTTGTCATGTAGATGTTCTCTCATATGAATCACTACCAGCTTTGCTGCTATTCCCCATCATAACACTGCCATAACAAGAGACAGGACAGAAAAGCAGGCATAAATAATTCACTAAGTACTGTAGGAAGTACTGCTTTTTCAGCCATGGTTATTTAGCTGGATGAAGCTATGGGGTGCTTCATACAGATAGTGAGTGATGGTCCAAAGGAGCTGTAACACCAGCTATCTCAGCACAGAAATAGGTAAGAAACCCCTTTGCTCAGCACACTAAGTGAAGAGGGTGTAAAGCAAAGTAAAAGAAGAGATTATATGTCAGCTTACATTCCAGTTCCACAACATGTAACCTACTAAAACACAAGTAAATTTGGGCTTGGATGGAAAAAAACGTCAGACAGAACAATCTAAATATGGGTAGATTTACTAAAAGCTCAAAGTTGGTCAAAAAAAAAAAAAAAAAAAGGCAATTAATACAAATCCTCCAGTCTTAACAGCAAGAACCTCATTGCATTTGTATCATTTCCAAGATGCCAAAGTTTGTGTGTGCCACGTGCATTTTTTTTTCTCCCCTCATCCCTAAACCAAGGAAACTTCTAATCTTCTAATTCTGCTATTTATTGAGTAGTATGGTACCTTAATGACACTGGCTGCAGATATCAGTGTGTTTGGATCCAGCACCTCCACGACAGCTTCAGGAAGGACGGCTTTCTTCATGCAAGACATGTCGAAGCCATATACATCTTCCCAGAAAAGTAGCCTGTCCACATGTTTATTCATATCCCCAACAGCCACCAGACTAGTGGTGCAAATGTCAGGATAAACTGGAACAGAGAGAGAGCAGTGACATTTTATCTTAGATAGACGTAAAGAGGACTTTTTTTTTGTTTGTTTGTTTGTTTGTTTTTTCTTTTCCAAGCGATTAACATCTTAAAAGAACAGACACAAGAACTTTTTTTTAGCTCTTGGACAAGACACTTTTTCTGCTGCTTTACTTTCTGGAGTTCCATTTGTCCTCAGGGGAGACTAAACACTAAAATCTAATTTTCCCACACAACTCTGTTAACAGTATTTCCTATTCATGACAAAAGATCTTTCTTAAGAGTATTAAAGCCTCTAAAGCCACCTACACTGAATTCTTGATCTGGCTTCTAACACCTTATTTTATTTTTTATGAATACATGAATATGGCAGTGTTAATGAAACTGAAGCTAAGTTTCTCTTTTTCTCCCCAAAAATCTGGTGAACTGTAAAATTAATTTTGTCTTCTGCTCTGTTTAAAATTATAGTTTAGCAAAGTGGATAGGGTATGGCATGGTAAGTCAGAAAAGCAGTACCTTCTTAAAACACTGAAGATAGAAACAACAAATTGAAATTAGACCTTTTATACAGTCAGAGTAGTTGTAGCCTAAAGGAAATAATCCTATAAATATTGATGATAGAAAATAGTCTTCTTTAAAGAAGCTTTCTATAAAGACATGAAAGTAAGCACACTGTCATCTTTTTCACTTTCTGACTGTTTAAAAAAGAATAAATAAACACCAGCAAGCTTCAATTGGAATCCTATTGGTAAGCTATTACCACCCCTACTTTGCAACTGAGGAACCCTGAGGAGGTTTCTCCAGGAACAGCCTCCAATTAACTCAGCAGTAAAAAAGGCAGTTTGAGGGGAATCCAAACAGGAGGACATTCCACTGCTGTGGTTCCAGCACACCTGACAGCTGCCACACAAGCCCAAAACGTCGGCATCTGCTGGTGGGAGGATCTGCAGGGAGTTTCTGGAGCCATCAATAAGGGATGTCTGGTTCTCAAAGCTTTCACTGGTGTAACAACTGCACCACACTTGGCTTCACCTCACAGCATTTCAAACCTCCCAGAGCCACCACTCATGCTCCAAAAAATTAAAAGACAGTGTGACATGGACAACAAAAGCAAGTGACAACAGCCTTTGAGGGACTGTTTTTCAGGGAAATGCCTATGATGCAATGGTACAGAGTGAGAAGAGAATGAAAAGACTGGCATCCCTAGTTACAGAACACACGTGCCAGAAACACTGCAACAAAAATGAAAACCACAGTTAGCAAGTGATCAGCTACTTTATAACCTTCCTTTCTCAGACTAGCCCCAATTTCTGGGACGTTCAGCAAACAGAAAAGAAGTTTATCACCTCTATCAAGCGTGAAATACTTGAGCTGGATCATAATCAGTTTATATTAAATCTCTTCGTTCACACAGCAAACGCTCAAATCAGCAGTGGAGCTCATGATCGATTGTACAAGTACTCAAGAACAAGGACAAATGTAAACACTAAATGCTCCAATCTCATCTGCATTTTTACTTTAGTCTATTAATAGCAACAAAAGTAGACAATGTCTGTTCAGACTTCACAAAAAGAAACCCCTATTCCACCAATAGGGCTCAGGCAACGACTGCAGTGATACACTAACTTCCAAATTTACACCCCCACCCACGTCCAGAAGCATATGCCACACTGAGGTTTGACTGGAAACGTAAGCAGTGTTGTCTAAAATCAGCCTAAATCATCAAAACACCGTGGGGTTTTGTAAACGTTTAAAAGCATCTGCATAAAATTGCGTTTGCCATTTCACCATTATCCTCAGTTCCCCTGGAAATCCTCTGCTCTTTCTGCAGCCCTGTAACGCTTCCCTGTGCAATCCCGACAGACTTGCCTTTTTTTTTTTTTTTTCCCCCTCTTTTTCCTCCTCATTCAGCCTATAATTTAATAATTATTCCTCCTTGCAGGTGAAATGAGCAAAATGCTGATTGGACAGAAGCACACACACTCCTCAGAGCTCTCCCAGATTCATCGCTTTGACCATCTGTGTCCTTCTCGACTCGGTGCCCACAACTCATCCGTCACCAGGAGCAGCTCACGTGGTGAGCAGGATATGATGGGAAATCCTTTATCCCTCAGCAATGCCTCACAAACTTCAGGACGCTGAAGGGTAAGGCAGCAATCCTCCAGATGCACAGAAATAACTCCACCTGAAAACCACCATCGTTTTGATGTGAAGGAGCAAACAATGTTATGTTCTGAGTGACCCCTCCCTTGCCCATGTCACCCCTCACCAACACGAGCTGCAATCAGGTGTGTGAAAACCCTGTACTCGAGTAACAGCTCCAAAGAACAAACAGATGGGTCCTGGGCAGCAAAAATGTTCTGTTCCCAAATAGAGCTATTAAATACTGTACACATTACCCTAGACGGTTTGGCACGATCCACTTCAGCATGCCAATAGGCTAAATCGAAGTAATGGCGATGTGACTGACTGAACACAAACGCAGAAATCTGGACTCTGCTCCCAGCTCAGTCACTGAGAGATCTGGCCAAAGTCACAGCTGCTTCTGTTGCTTTTTTTCAGCTTTCAAAAACCCTGTAATAATGAGCTCAGGCTAATAGTACCAAGTGGCTTAAAACAAAATTAAGCAGATTTAGGAGTTCCTCTGGTGAGGCTTCAACTCAGAGGGAGCTCTTAGTTTTGGTTCATCTGAATTTGGATGTGCCCACAGTTCTGCTGCTGTTCATCTCCACTGCAGGAGAGTCTGTGTTGCTAAGCTGATTGCTGAGCAGCTTTCTCACAAGCCCTGGACACAGCCATTGACCTGCTGGCAGCAGAGCAGTAATTGCAAGCACCTTAATGAAACAGTGTTAGCGAAAATTAAAATGTGGCCTTACCAATCGGTGCCTGTACAGCACTGTGTGCTTTGTGAAAAGTCAAAGAAGGACCCAAGACCATTCTCAGACCACAAAGGATTAAGTGTATTGCAGAACCAGCATGCCCTGCCTGCTCAAAGGAATCTTTGGGAGCCACAAACCAATAGCAAACTTACCAACAATGCAGTTTAAACAGAGGTCAAAACATTCTGGCCCTTTTCAGAAGGCTTTGGAAGTAGTAGCTAAACACAAAATGATTCCTTATGACTTTAGGGAATGTCCTTGCACTTAATTGTATCACAATGTAAAATTATCAGCATGTATCTATACAGAGCACTCCAGCATGTTCCTGATCTGGCTGGACTTTCTTACATTACTGAAAACAAAAAAAAAAGCTCTTACACTGTCATGTTGTTCAAGTGGCTACTGAATATTCTAACACACCTCTTGCCTGTATATTCAGCTTTGTGACCAAATGCTGAACAACTGCACAAACCCCCTTTTTTCTGCTGCACTCTGTAGTGTACAAAAGCCCACTGCAACCAAAGGGAAGCACTGCAGCAAGCCCTGTGACACAGTCATTAATCCAATCATTAAGTCAGTGTAGTGAAACCGTGTGCATGGTTAGCACAAAGAGGGGAAAAAAAAACCCAGACTGATGACTACGATTGAAAAGGTCAATATGAAATAAAATACCGACAAAGGAATTAAGCACAAGGAATAAAGCACGTGCAGAACTCGGGCAGAAAACTGCATCACGTGAGGAATTAATATTTACTGACACTTCAGCAGTGCTTCAGATGGCACTGTCTAAGCTACTTAATGGGGTAAGAGAACACTACTTCAAAACAAACCCTTTTGTCACAACTATAAAGAGCATATTAACACCAGGATAAACATGCTGAACACAATCAGTGTAATTCCACTAGTTATTTCTCGTGGTCTCTTGTGTTTGAAACTGTGTCCTCCTGCCCACAACCTCCCTCCTCCAGAAAAACACCCTATTCATTTTTCCTCTAATCCACAGTAGCTTACTCAAACAGCATCACATCCTACAGGATAGGACTTATTTTCCTCTGTTCACAGTTATGCAGAAACTGGGATTTCGGGAGAGGAAAACAAAAGTCCACGTGTGTGTGGGAAGAATTAGGGAGGAAAAATTTAGACTGGACTTAAGAATAAATAAGCCTGTCTGTTCTTAAAAACACCATTAACTTGAGACCTTGATACCCCATCTAATGTTCTTCTATTGCCCATACAGTAAATTAATGCCTTGAAGCTCACACTAATGAAAACATTTTTCATTGAGACTGGCAACTTTCTCATCCATGAATAGCTTATTCTAAAGCCTCTGAGTTCATTTAGCTTCTCCCCAGAGCTAAATTTATGAAAAGAACTGAGCACCAACCTGAGCCTCCCTCTGCCAGGTACTTGTCCTTTGCATAGATGACAGAATCCAGCATTGACTCGAAGAGAAGGAAATAACCCTGTTTATAGAAGAAGGAAAAAAATTTAGATATCATCATGCTTCTTATGCAGCCTACAGACAGATTTTATCAACACATTTTAAAGAACTTTATGTGCCCATACGCCTCAAGAAGAGTCAGCACCCGGTGAGCTTCTCAACAGCAGCGTTGTCACTTCAAACTTCAGTTATATAAAATATCATCTCTAATTAATCCCAAACTACAGGTATGTAGCACATACTGAATTAATAAACTATACACAGTAAATATCCAATCTACATCAATATTTATCTGAGGAGAGTCGGAAAACATCAAAAGAAACCAAATTCAACTCCAACCAAGTGAAAAGCTGCGTGCATTGATTTTTTAGTTAATAATTGGGAGGTTCAAAAGACAAAATCCCTTCCCCCTTAGAACTGCAAATAACACTAAAACTTATTATCAGAGGAACACCAAATGCATCTTTGCTGCTTCACATTTGCAGCCTCACGGTGCCCTGTATCACCCTGGGCAACGCTCACCAAGGCAGGTAGAAATAAATTGTGTACCAAAGACATCAGTTCTCTGGGTGATCGAGATCATTTTGAAGCACCTGGATTTAACAAAAATTTCCAGCATAAAAATGGTTAGACCTAGGTTTGCACAGGTTTGTTTTTTTTTTTTGTGTGTGTGTTGGGATTAATTTTGTGGCATGTTAGTCATATTGTTATTGGTGTTTAGAATAACTCATTGTAAGCTTGAGTGAGTCCTTTTCTGAAACAGAAAAACGTTCCTTAAACATCTGAGATATTAAAAACCCCCATATGACAGTATTAAATAAAATTAGCATTTTATAGAAAATATCCAGTTTCTCAACTAATTTTAAAAAAGCTGCAGATTTATTAGATATACAGCCTTTTGTTTCCCAACAAGTTTACTGATTTTATACCCTTCCTGTCTTCCAGGTTTGACTATGATCCTTACTCTTACTCAATACTGTAAACATATTTCACCTACACCCCTTAAAAATCAAATCAATTAAAACAAATACCAACACAGGTTTTGAATTTTCACTTAGCATCCTAATTCTCATTTTGCTTAAAACACAGATTAGCCACTTGATCAGGAAAGAACAAAGTGGACAACTCAAGTCCAGACTTTGGGCCTGCAGTCCCTGCTGTCATAATGTGCATTTTCTACTAAAAAGCTGGCCATTTCCTTCTCAAAGTGAACATAAAGTTCCTTATTTTTTTTTTTGCAAAGCTGAAACAAAATGTTCTCCAGATAACAACAACCCCCCACATAAAACAGATCTGGGCAGGAACACCCAGCACTGTGGAGTGACACCTGCCCTACCTCATGTCCGCCCAAGACACCCATCAAAAATGCATGAGCCCACTGGCATATCTGAATCCAGAGGAATGTGAGTATTGCTACATTTCTTACATATCCTTTATATCTGTATTGTGTGTTCATAACAGAATTATAAAAGGCTCACAAAGCTTTGACACCTTAATATCCTGCTTTGTTAAATTTTCCCCTAGTATTCAACTACACCACAGCATTCTTGTATTTATTTTCATTTTAATTCAAAGCTGCACAAAAATATTTTGCCAATGGATCAAAACATAAGTATGGCAAGTTCTTTTAACTTGAGTGCTTGGTTATTCATCGTGATAATCTTTGTGGAGAAAAACAAATTAAGCTCTTCAAAAGCATCAAACAGTGCCATTACCATGTTTACAACATCAAGAATCAGGAGTATTTTTGGTACAGCAGAACAAAACATGTAAAGATAGAACTGAGAAGAAATATCTAACTACTTGAATAAGGGTTGTGTTTCCCCTCTGCCTTCTGTCAAAGATGCATTTTATTTTTTTCTGTAACATTACTCAATCTGGTTTGGTTCACCAGATTCAGCATGGTTTAATACTAAATATTTAATGAGATGAAAGGCCAAAACATTGGCCCAGAGAGTGGACTTTATATTTTTTAATCCCTAGTGGTAGAAAAAAAGTGCATTATTTGCCTAAGCTGAAGTTTCTAAGATTCCCACTGGCCTACAGAGTGAAACATGTTACAACATCCAACACAGATTGGACAAGAGATTATGATTTCAGACATAACATGTAATCTGGCATTAACAGGTACACATAAACTGATGTGGCCCACTCAACATCGTGAAAAATGACTTTTTACTTGACGAAATCTCCCCAAAAGCTGTGGTGCATTTAAATGACAAGCAGCAGCTACACAGACTCTTCTGCATGCTCTGCTGCAGCACCATTTCCCACATGCTAGGTCAGCCTTCATGCTGATCTCTCATTGTATGATTTAATTAAAAAAAAAAAAATAAAAAAAATAGTCATTACTGACAGAGCAAGCTCACAAATTTCAGAACCACAGCTTGACTTTTCCATTATGCACACCCTGTTGTGCCCTTAAACAAATAGGAGTGAGAACACCAAACGGGAAGATGTGAAAAGTGATATCCATTACTGGTGTTGGCAAAAAGAAAAAAAAATTAAAGGAAATCAAATTCCTTCACAAAATCCATTTTGCTATAAAGAAAATAAGGCATTCAGGTACTTAGTATGCTCTTCACATCAGAGTATTAAGAACACAAAAAAAGAAAAGCTCAATTCTCATGTAGAGTTGTAAATGATAACTGTTATATAGATAGAACACTTGTATTAATGCACCTCCAAATATTAAAACAATAGAGAATATTAAGATTACAGAATGAGTAGTGAGTGTTAAAGAAGTGCCATCACTGTGTATCTCATAGAAAAGGAGGAAGGAGAGAAAAGATGGTTTCCAGTGTTTCAGACATGCTCACTTCCTAGTCCTTTTCCCTAGATCCTGACATCCTCAGCCCATCCTCACATCATTTCAAAATCATCCAAAATAAAAGAAATACAAAAAGAAAAGAAAAATGAGGAAAAAAATATTAGCTACCTGACCAGAGATAGGATTCAAAGACAAGAGTACTGGATTGCATCCTCGGTTTATTTTAATCTGACATTCCACCTCTTCCCCAGTTTTTCCCTGTAGAGAACTCTGCTGCTTATTCAGCACCATAAAGCACTGAATAAAAAAACCAATCTACGAGAACACGCTGTACACTAACACTGCATTTGAGACAACCACCTCAGGCAATTGTCTCTCATGATAAAACCCCTTTACACACAAGAAATGCAGATACTTTTCGAGAGAGTAACTCTTGCAACCTTTGGCCCTGTAGTTTTAGAGAAGGGAAGCAAAAACATTCTGATAGCAAATAAAAAAATCTGCACACAGATGCAGCTGTGCAGGAACGTTCCAGAAAAGCATTACATACATTTTGTTTCTTTCTGCACTCATCCTTTCAATAAGCAGCCTGTGAAGTTCACAATTTCCCTACCAAAATACCTGAGTGATAAAACAGCTTTTTTGTATCTTTACAAAATCTTTTCCTGCTCAGGTAATTCATGTAAGTTTACAGTTTGAACAACAAGTAAGAGATTTATTTGTAGGTGAGCTATGGTATAAGCAGACAAGCAAGAAGATGTTAAAGACTGGTACCTGTAGTCACCACCAATAAAATTTGTAGTTTCACAAATTAAGGCTTTGATGGTGCATCAGAAGCTTGAAGCACTGACACAGAGCATCAGAGAATTCCGGTCAGGGAAACCTCTACAAAAACAAGGCCATCAGGGAGATCTTTACACAAAGTTCACCCATTCTTACACTCAAATAACCTTTCCCTATGAATTGAAGGACTTTCTCCTCACAGACCCAGTCTGGTTGTAGAACACGCTCTGACCCGGCCACTCAGAAAGAGAAATAAGGCAAAGTGGCTTATTTGGGTGAAGGGTTCCTCCACTCCACCTGCTCTCCCCCTGTGCTCCTGGTCCACAGCACACCAGAATCCCTTGTGTCAGGCTGCACACTGCACCGAGGCTTTGCTAAAAACAATTTACAGCTGTCTTGGGAACGGACAAGCCCAAATGGGTGGCCCAGAGGTCTCTGGCAGTCCGACGGGCCCTCGACGTTCAGCAATCTGCCTTTTGGACACCAAGAGAACAGCTCACAGCTCATCACACCTCCCACTGTGTCTGCCTGTGCTTTACCCACTGTGTTTGTGTTGAACACAATCACAGAGATGTCCTGCTCACGGTCTGATTTTAACACTGTCAAACTTCAGGTGTCACAAACTGCATTCGGTACATTAAAACCAGGATCACTTCTCATTTCTTTCACAGGCTTAAATAAAAGCACTGAGGAGACATTTGCTCATCACTCAGCCTCTAAACCTGGCACGTGACAAAACCATATCCAGATGGATTTAAAATGGGAAAATGTCTTTTGGAAGATGGCAAATATACATTTGAAATACAGGTTTCTACATACACACACGTGCACTCACACCCACCCTATCCCCTTGTGTAATACTTAAGATTCTTCTTCCATTTTTCCACAGTTTAAGGGAACAAATTTTAAAATGAAAGGGAAGAACAGCAAGCATTTGTGAGTCATAGGTCACTTCTGCAATTAAGAGAATAATCACCAGAAACCATTACACTGGAGATGCTCATAATGCAGTGCTGCATCTTTTACAAGACACTGTTCTATGTGACATCTTTCTCAGAAAGCCTAATCTAAAAGCCATCCTGGCAGAATGCAGTATTTTTCTTCTCTGCTGCCTCACACTTTTTTGATTTTCTGATTTCACATTTTCTGATGCTCCAGAAACAGCTCTAAAAAGGAGCTAGTAGTGTACTGCTCTGCACCAAGCAGAACAAAGCTATGGCTCCACAAAAGGGTTTGATGTTTACTAATCTAAAGGCAGTTTGTTTCCTAAACAGAACAGCGACTTCTCATATTTCTGTTACAAAGGAAAACAACTGTTCTCATGAGAATTTTCCTGCCTGTCCATACGGACTCTCTACATAAAGAGCTGAAAACTGAGATACACTGAACTCCTTTTTGCTCTCATGCTTCAACATTTCCCACATTTTCAAGCACTTATATTCACATATTAACAACAGATTTCACACCGGGGAAGCAAATGAAAAAGCAAATTCACACAAGAAAGCCAGACAAAGAGAAATCTTCATCTGCACCTAGGCAACACGATGTTCCTTTCTGAACATTGTTGGAACAGTGTGTACACTGTCCAGCTATCAATCTTACTTCCACAGCATTGTCCTCTTTATCTCTGTATTGCAGCAACCTATAAAAATCCTAACATTCCTAAATATTTAGAATGCCTGATTAAGTGAAATGCACATGGCTATGTAATTATGACATTAAAAGATAAATCAGCACTCAGATGAAAAACATGGAACATTCAATACTTCATTCCTTACAAGAGCTGCTTTTGAAATCCTTTACTTCACCTTAGAGGTACTGATTTACAACATGACTTCAGCTCAACTGCTCCAGTTCCCTTTAAAACCAAATCTTGGGCTCTAGAGTGAGAGATGTGATTTTGGGGAACATTAATCTTGGTGCACACATTAGGCAACTGATCAAAGGTTTCTCTGAAAGAACTGTAATTACATTTCTAGTGAAGGCACTATACTGTCAGAAATCACCAACCATAATGTGCTATTTTTAAACCACTAGTTTAAGCCAGTGGCTTAAACCTTCCTTGAAACTAGTGACCTCAACTCTAAACTAAGCTCGTGTTTCAAAGGTACATTATATAGCAGTGGAGGTAAAACTGCAGATTTCCAGCTCACTGAAATACACAGCTTAAAAAAAACCAAAAAAACCAAACAACAAACAAAACACACAGAAAAGGCAAAACAATTTATTATCACCTTTTCCTGGAAACACAGAGATAGATACATATGGATCCATAGTGAATACTTGACCTCTCTCCCAAAGGCCCTTGTATGTAGTAGAATGGCCACAGTTTGTAAAAAAACCAAAACCCACCAAACAAACAAGTAACTTTGATCGTAACCCTTTGTTATTGATCTTAAGTTTGAACCAGAAAAGAATCCTTAAGTCCCAGCAGCTGGAATTAACATGAAGAAAACCTGTATTTTGAAGTGCAGGTAGCAAGCACAAGGTGTGTAACAGCTACCAGCCAGCACAGGAAAGAAAGGGAACAGGAAACATCTGAAATCCAATGGATTTTAGGAGACGGATTCCAGGAGATGGCTCATTTAGACACTGTTGTCCATCCTATTTCTTTTGTACTTTTAAAATCAGTAACTTTACTGTTACACTAAAATAAATGGTAATGAATACTAACACTGTTTTCAAGCTCTGCCTCTATTTGCAGATTTCCAGAGTAAGCACCTCACACCTCCTTATTGCCTTTCACTCACAGTCAGGACAGTCCTCAGCTGAATTTGCAGACTAAAGGTATTTTACTCATCAGAATGTATTATAGATGACTTTAGAGATCTGCAAACCAACTACACCTGACAGAAATTTCCTGCTGCACCCAAAGCAGCTCAACTGTACTTAGACAACCTGGACTTTAAAGAGCTTGAACAAGAGAGATGAGGAATTGTATCCAAATACCACATAATCAGGACTGCCATCCCATCTCTCACATTGTCAAAGACACTGCTGGAAGCATGACAGATGTTTTGGTTTAAAAAAAAAAAAAAAAGCATCACTTAAAGAATAACTTTTCAAATGAAATAAAACATTTTTTCCTGGAAATAACTACACCTTGAAAGGATTATTCATGCACCTTACCATCCATTCAGATATAATTACATCCACTTTGTCCAAAGGCAGATCTACTTCTTCAATTCTTCCTTTGACTAATGTAATAATATCTTCAAGTTTATTTAATCTGCAAGTCCAAACATAAACAAATTAGTTTCTATTTCTGATTTATGCTGTCAAGAGAGGTGTACTGACATCTGTATTTCACGTTCCCCCCCTCCTGCCTCAAATTTTTTCTTTTAACTAATCAAGAAAGCAGTGGAACATAATATTTCTCAGTTTTATTTCAGAGGGAATATTTCCAAGCAGCTAAAAATGGCAGCAGATTAAGTGCCAGGCAAAGATGGCAGACTGTAGATCTGTATATACCTCCAACGTGCCACGCATGCAAATGCGTGAGCTCCACAAACCAGGAAAACAGAGAAGGGGACAATTTAAAAATGATGGTCCTCTCTATTTAAGGGTTGCTTGTTCCCATTTCTCCTCCTTTGACCTCTGCAAAGTCTACAGCAATCAGAGCCTGCTCACCACACCAGGACAGCAGTGGAAATGAGCTTCCTTACAAAGCTGTTTTGCACGACTTGGTTTTTTATTTAACCAAACCGGCTGCAAAGTCACCGAGAACAAACATTCCCTCTGGATCAGTATTTCAGCTATTCCACAAGAAAGGCACCCTCCCCAACTGTGAATTTGGGCAACAGCATCTGCAGTGTTCAGTACCTGCAGGAATCAGGTGTTACCTCACACGAATGTAATGGCACAACTGTCCTGCAAACGGAGGAAGGTTCTGTGATGGGACTACGGGTTTTGAAACAATAACTGCACAACATTGAAACTACTGAGCGTGTAAATGCTTGGAATCTACTATTTTTCTCCTTGGCAAACCATTTTATAGCCTTTCTTGCACACACCTTTATTACAAAGCCTATTTCTGCTCTTACAGAGGGCAGAAAAGTCTTCTCACCACGGAAATTTATCTTCCCACTGCAGTTCTTATCTCTGCCCCTTCCCGCCCTATCCTGATATCTTACTCTTACATTCTGTCTGGCTTTCAATGCAGACCAGTAATCACATTAAAAATTCAGTCTCAAAGACAATGGGAGAACGATCAGGATGAGGGGAGGGGAATAAAAGGGTCAAAGGGCTACTTGAACATGTGGGCTGTTGCAAAGATCAATTAAATACTGTACACAAGACAATCTTCTCTTAGAAGAGTAGTAGTTCATCACTAATACCATATTTAATGCTATGAACAGAAGTAAAATCAGAAGTTCAAAGCGAAAAATAAAATGTTAAAGAGCCACCACCCCACAACAATAATTTAAGAAGGATAAGAAGAGATCTAAGGATAACTTCCTAAATGACCACAAACAAGGACACGATTTAAAACAAAAGAGAAGAAAAACATTAATTCATTACATACTTATTATAATGTTTTAGAAAAAACAAACCAACCAAGGTAGTTTACACATTGTAGGAAAAACTGCTGAGATGCTATTTAGGCAGTATACTTGAACTTTCCATTCTATCACAGCAGTGATGGATGACAAAAATCAAGTCATTCACTGCACTAGAAATTTTACAGGCACTATTCATAGCAAGAAAAGGCAATCATATAGTTAAAAGGCAGTTTAAGGCTGGTCAGGCAACTTATTTCAGTTTACTTACACACAAGGGTTGCACTGTTTCCAGTAATTGGCATGCTAGAAATTAAGCTGAATTCTGGAAGGGACAAAAGCTCTCGAGCACATACTTGAATCACAGGTGGAAACACACTGCCATAGTCATTTTTAAGCAACACAGAGTTGTTTAGTATTCCAATAAATATTTGTTACTCCAGTGCAAGCTTGTCAGCTTTATTCCCTCAGGAAAAGTAGGTTTAACCAGACAAACATAAATTGTTTTGACGTGAACTGGAGACTTTAATGTGAACGGAACTCTTTATAGCAGAAGGTACCTATAAATGTGCAGCCTCACTGATGACTTGCTGTGCACTTCAAGTGGCAATGAATCACTCTAAAGAGTTAAAAGAGTTTTGATTCATTGTTTTTCTTAAAGGTCTGCCCTTCTCCTCACCACAGGTAATACATGTTGACTGGTGCTTCCATTCTCCCCCAGGTATAAACAACATTTAAAGGACTTTGTGCACCTGTTGAAAGACATGAACAACCCTAAATTTGCAATCTAGCACGTTAGAAATAAAACCCTATTTCACAGTTGTAAAGCATTTCAGCCAAAGATGCACTTAGATGCTTAACATGGTACTTTTCCCAAACAGATATTTAATAAATGGAGTCACTTTATAGCATCCAGTGTGGTGGTGCCCCACAAATTCAGCCTAGACAACGTTACTTCTGTACAACTCAAGCTTGTATTAAAAAAAAAAACCCTGTCACTCCCAAATTCCTCAGCCTCTACCTGGGCTTTCCTTTTCACAGCTGCTCTTACAAAATCAACCTAAATGAAAGAAACCTACATGCCTCAGCTATCAACAGCACACATCTACACCTACATTTCTCCTACCTCGTGCTGCAAGACCCTTTTTAAGTCTTCAGATGTCGTGGTTTCGCTTCTACATATGCTCACAGTCTTCCTTGATATCCTCCACAGGTAAATTACTGACATGTGGAGCGGATAAATGAACCATGAGATGGACTGAAAGCTGTCTGTACTACGAAGTTCAAGAGGTGAGAGGAAGAGTACAAATCCTAACTAGTAGCCAGGTACCAGAGATGTCCCTCAGGGTTCAGTGCTTAGTTCTGATACTCATTAAGACTAATTAATGTGATATAAAGGGACAGAATGCACCCTCACCAACTCTGTGGTTAATGCTGAATTAGGGATGAGGGCTGCTATTTTCTGTAACACAGACAAATTATAGAAATTCTAGCGATTATTTAAAATTCCCATATAGAAACAGAAAATTAAACAACTCTTTATACACACACACACACACTTGAACAACTTTCACTGGGTTTATCTAAACTGGAACTCTCTTAAACTCAAAGCAGTGCAGCCAGGTAAAGCTTCTCACATCTTCTCGGTCTCCAGTGATGTTGAAAAACTTACAATTTTATCAGTAGCAACATCTAAAATGTAAGAATGGCAGATGGACAGGCAGTATTCAGTTGGAGCCCCTGCAGCCAGGCAGCACTGGCCCCATGGTACCATTAGGAGGAAGGTCTGTTTTAATATTTAATATTTACCCAACTTTTCTTGGAACTCTTCCTACCTAATGATGTCCATGGCCTGATAGATGATTTCAGATTGGTCAACTCCGATCACTTTCTTCGCGCCTGCTTTGGCGGCAAACATGGAGAGAATTCCAGTTCCACAGCCAACATCCAAAACCACCTGAAAGTCATAAAATGGAAGTAAAATCGTCTTTTGTTCCTTGCTATGATTTTTCCACGCTCATTTCTACCTCAGTGAGATACCACATTCCAGCAGAAGGAACAAACAGTGGCATCAAGTTTTACTGTCACATGCAGAGATACCCAAGTCAAACTGCAGTCCTAAATCCACACCCTCTACCACCTTTCCCAGATGGAGAACTGAAGCAGATGAGCTGCAGCTTTACAACCACAAGCAATTATTTGGGCAACAACTAAAATGTTACGTGAACAGGAAAAAAAATGGAAATTACGACCTTTTAACCACTGAATCACTAATAACTGAACTTAGCACTGGTACTGGAAAAACATATTCTAACTGCAGTTTTCATTAAGAGTCTATTCAGAAGTTTTATTTAGGAATTCTCTGCCAGAAATGGCCACAAACTGCCCCAAAACAGCTGTGGCTCAAGATGACTAATTTCAAAATGGTCACCGGCACAGTTTTAGCAGCTGGAAATATTTTCTGTCTAGCACTGTTTATGATTAAAATAAGACCAAAAAATCCAGTAAGATTTCATGAAGGAAGAGTAAACTTCATCACTGCACTTGAAAAAGTACATTCAGCACAGCAACAAGAGTCATGAAGATGCCTGGGGTTTGGTATATCACATATTAGGTACTGCAGGAAGACTGAAAAGACTGAGAAAATGCAAAGCAACTAAGAAAAGAGTACCAAATTTATTACTAAGTAGGGTTGAGCTGCCTTCAGTGTTAAACTTCACACAGAGAGATTTTACCAAGCAGCCTTGCTGTCAGAATAGTGTATTTCCTCTACCTGCTGCAAACTTCTCAACACTTTAAAACTGATCAGTGTGTTACAGAAGATTTTTAAGCTGAGTTTCAGGTTTTCACCAAATCACTGAGGCCGAAAGGCACCTCTGGAGGTGCTGAGGGTGCCTTTTATTGCATTGGTCAGATCATCAGAGGTCTTGATTGTTGGAATTCTACTTAATATAGTTAAGCTTTACTAATGGGTGTTAAAAAACCCTCAGCACTAAACTCCTGAAACCTTCTGAAGTCTGAAAATCAAAACAAGTTTCCTAAACACTGTGTACAGTCACTCCTATCATGCAGAGCATTTAAGCATTAACAGAACCAGAGCTGTAAAGACAGATTTCCTTTCCCATATATGAGACCCTAACGTGAGAGTAAGCACCAACTTCCTAAACACTTCTAAGTCAACCAGAACACTGAGAACTATTAGTCATAGCAACAATTTATGAGAAAGGAAAACTTCTTTCACCATCTCTCCTCTTCAGAGCATCCAGTGCTGTGGAAACTGTCCTCACACAGCCCTCCTGACATTAATTTGTTTTTTTTTCCAGAGAAGGCATCCAATTCCTCAATAATCAATCCCCTATTTGAGAATTATAAAGACCATTTTACAAAATGGGAGGTTGGCCAGGGAAGGTGTGGATAGAGTCACTCGTTCCACTTGCAACTCTTTGCAGCTACATTTCAGAAGGAGTCAACACTATAACTCTCTCAAGTTACACATGAGTGTGTTATGGCTACAGAACTCCCTAGGCTGAATCTGCTGGAGACAGGAATAGAAAATAAAAATCAATATCCTTGCAGCTGCTGAAATCTCACACACACCCCTCCAACGTCACCTATTTTAACACTGTACCCAGGGTGGTTAACAAAATCGCTGAGCCATGAAAGCTGGAAGTCAACAGCCAAAAATAAACCCCTGTGAAAGAATGATCTTGACGTGCAGTTGCATGAAAGAGAGCAATCACCACAGATTGGAAAAAAATCAAAACAGACACCACTTTGGACAGCTGCCCTGGTCACTTAAAAACCCAGATGGAGCTCATCTAGCCTGAGGCAGGGGATGGGGGTGGAGAAAAAGGTACCAGAGAGGAAAATATACAAGCTGGAATACATCTGAGGAACAGAAAGACAAGCAGAATGATCACCAATTAGCCTAAGGACAAGGGTCTACAGCTCACACATTCTTGTGGTGATCACATATGGCCTCTCACCAAAGATCTGGAGCAGCTGGACTGGTGATTTGACTACACAACAATACACTGCAGCACCACATCCTTCTCTGTAGTGTAATCAAAACCGATACTCCACTTTAAATAACAGAAAAAAATTACTTCTAACTCAGAAAAACAGGAGTCTAGGTGATTTGGCCACTTAAATCAATTCCATCAATGAACTCTTAGTAGGCACAGCGTTTTAAAATCTCATTTTATTCCCTGAATAGGGCATTGATCTTGCCTCAGACTTCTACCACAAAAACTAAGTGTGGCAAGACTGCTTTACAAAGCTACTTTTTCCACCCCAAAGCACTCTCACTGTAAAATGGACTACATTTCCTTTTACTGAGTACCTTAACTACTACTGCTAGGTAATCTAAATTGTCCCATTCTCATCTCAAACACATTTGACAGGCTGAAAATAAAGGCAGCAAGCAGGATTCATACAAGTTTTAATAATTAATTTTGAGAGCTGGGTTCTGAATAAATATGCCTATTAAACAAACCTAGACATTCTGTTCCCATCTGCCACAGTAAAAAGCACCACTCTGCATTTTGCAGGGAGGAATACAATATGGGAGTTGTGGGAAATACAGTATCAGAATTTTACCCACTTCTTAAAAAAAAAAAAATCAAACTTCTTTCAACCTTTTTTCTTTAAGTTGGAAGTTTCACTCGTTAATATGGTTCTGAGAGCATTATATGATACATTAATTTAAGCAAAATACCTTCACATGCCCTTCAGCAGAAGTCTAGATTTCTGAAAAAAAAAAAAAAAAAATCCCCTATGTTCTCCGTAACTGTGTAGTATGTGAAAGCTGCATCAATGTTTGGTCAGACACAGAAGTTAAAACCAGGGCACTGGTCACATGGATGGGGGTTTTTGGGGAACTCAAAGCAGTTGAGAATCTGTCTTTCAATTCAGTCTCAACACATGATGATGGGTTTCGATCCACTATGAATTTGAGGTAATCTTGATTAAAAAAAAAAAAAAGGCTGTAAAAACCATGTTCAGAAATCAGTCTGTAGGTGTTGTGATAACTGAGAAGGTTTTCTTCAGAGAAGTTGAATGCTTTCACAACACACATTCTCTCAGCTGTTTCTTGAGCAAATGCATCTACTGCAGGGCCTGAAGCAACACTGACTCTAACAGTTAATCCCTGGTTTGTTTTGAATGTTTCCAGTGTGTTCCTACAGTAGAGGAGAAACACAACCAATTCAGAAAAGTTACTGTTCCACGAGGACACACATTTCATGTAACTTCGTATCAGTCTTGCCCTGTGAAAACCTGCAGTTATCAATTCCAGGGGCATCTGGGAAACTAAATTTCTCCCAGGAAAGTTTTCTTTCCTTTATTGATTTTTCTGCTTTGTTAGAGATGAGCTGCCCACCTGTGCAGCCCCCTGCATCATTTAAGTAGCTGCCAGTATAACCCTGCAACACTTTCCCTTGTTCTCTCCTTGTAATTAAAGAGTTTAGAAATGTTTAGCAGAAACAGGCCTGTGACACAAATTGAGACTAAAAAAGGAAGAAAACTATTTACTAACTTTTTTTCTGCTGTGGTTCCCAACTGAAAATTGAAGTAAGATACAAAAAAACAGGCACTATCAACCTTGAAATTCCTCCTGTCAGGACAAAACTCTCTCTCACCTCTCCTACCAAGAAAGACTGAGAGAATTGGGATTGTTCAGCCTGGAAAAGAGAAGGGTGATCTAATTGCAGCCTTCCAGTACCTGATGGGAGCCTACAGGAAGGATGGAGAGAGACTATTTACAAGAGCATGTAGTGACAGGACAAGGGGGAATAGATTTAAACTGGAAGGCAGTAGGTTTAGACTAGATATTAGGAAAAAACTCCTCACTGTGAGGGTGGTGACGCCCTGGCACAGGTTTCCCAGGGAAGCTGGGAAGTGTCCAAGGCCAGGCTGGATGGAGCTCTGAGCAAGCTGGTCTAGTGAAAGGTGTCCCTGTTCATGACAGAGGGGTTGGAAGTAAATGATCTTTAAGGTCCCTTCCAACCCAAACCATTCCGTGGCTCTATGAACTCAAAACACAGCGAAGCAACCAGCCAGCAGAAAGACAGAGGACAGGAAGAGGAGCATAACTGTACAGGGGTCACAACCACTGCAGGGTCTTATCAGTACAATCCTCCTCACTGCAAGTGAATTACCAGTTCCTAGTTCTAAGCCCTTTAATAACAACCTGCTCTGCAGACACTGAACAGCCCTAATTCAAGAAATCAGTTCCACGTGAATTCCTTCCCAGCTCTAATAACGCGGGGCTTCCAGGACGTTTTTATTGTATCAGGCACACACAGAAATTCACTCCATTCTGGTAAAGAGGCCCTCAGAGAGATTCCACCTAATACACTGGACAGGGAAGGCTCAACTTCACCCCCTGCAACATTAATTAATGACCATCCCAACAGCACAGTGACAATGGCCATCACCACCGCTCTTATCAGCACTCTGCACCCTCCAGCAGCTCAGCAGCTCTCCACCACCTAATAAAGCCACACTGCACTAAATCAAACCCTGTCACAGCGCCACTCTCCATTCCCAGAGCCACAAACTGGCCAACCTGAGGGTCTTCTACCGTTTGAGGGGAAAAAATAAGACACAGAAACGACTGTTTTCTGAGCTGTTTTACCCACCTTGTCCTTGAAGATGTGTGGGTTTTGATAGATGAAGTCACGATAGCTTTCTGTACGCACCTTATCCTGTTATTTAAAAGCAAAAAGTGTTTTTTTTTTTTTCACTTAGGTACAGGCATGTCATTCAAAAACACTGAAAAACTCCTTTTTAACTTGGCCTTAAGATGTTTTGTGCATACTGGACTTACAAGGGCTCTGCAATCATAACACTGGCCATGTGAAATTATTTCAGAATTTACTGTCTGTGCAAATGAAGCCAGTTGCCTTAGCTGGAGGGAAAATAAGAAATTAGCTCATGGTGTCCTGACCTGCTGCTTTTAATTTTGAGCGTTTCAAAGTTCTTAATACGTCTTCACCACTGCCCAGGAACAGCAGAGTGGCAATACTGCACCAACTTTACATAACAACCTCCCCTACAGTTTGAAACATTTGAATCACAAGCTCATAAAACATTTTGTATCATTTTATTCTCTGACTCTCCTGTAACACAAGAGATTTCTTTAAAAAAAAAGTTATGCATCAAATTAACCTGTTCTATTTCTGAACAAACTGCAAATTTGCAAACCTCACAACAAGCTAGTAAATAAAGCTGTACAGCCCATTCTATAAAAGTCAATATGGTAAATAAATTTGACTGTAAATTTGGCTGGAGAAGCTGGAATGTTTTCAAGCATAGAATGAAACATTTATAGTATCTTAGTATATCAAAGGTAGCAATATGGCTTAGTTTACCAGCAAGGTAATCTATTAAAACATCCATTCTCTTACCATGCATCACCAGGTACACAAACTGACAGCCAAGTATTGGCTGTTGCAGTTCAAGTCTTACAGCAAAGTAGAAAAAAATTTTCAGCAATTTTTTTTTTAATCTAGTGCAAACAATGCTGAAGGATAAAATCCAAGTGCTTACATTAGATCTAACATTTTTCTACTATGGCAAGGCAAGAATCTTTAGAAACAGCAGAGAAACAAAAGAAATTTTCCACAGTGAGAAAGAGCAAGGTCTATTTGGATAGAAAATTAAGATCAAAACCAGTGACTGAGAACAAAGGATATGTCAATTAAAAAAATCTGGAGACAAAAAGAATTATTCTGAGGCTTGGAAATTCTAAAATCCAGTTTTAAATGTAAAGGTATTATCACACACGGCCCAAAGAAACAGGGTTGATTTTAGAAAATTCTACTTTAAAATTATACATCGTTAATGAATAAAAGAAACTGTGATCCTTGAAAACCACATTGGTTCACTATGATGTTATATTCAGAGCAACTATTTTTAGAGCTTCACCTCCACTGCAGCACATCACAGGATTTTGCTGAACCCACCAAAAAAAAAAAAAGTTTAAAAATAAATAATCAAAACTGGAATGTTCAGCACTGGAAGATGTTCAATTGGAGAGAGCAGTCAGCTGGAAATCTTTCAGCCTTACATCCTGCCCACTCCCACTGCCTCAGCACTGCCCCAGCTGAATCAATACAATCCGAGCTGCTGCCTCCAGTCAGTCCCTTCAGGTGTCTCTGTCCATCAGTCCCATTCTCTCACCAGACATTTCCACGTGATGCTTTTTTGTTTAGTTTATAAGAAGTACAATGGTGAGAACATTTATTAAGATGGCAGGCAAGAAATTCTTGAGCAAAAAAAAAAAAAAAAAAAAGGCAGAGCAAGGGAAACACTTGCCACTTGGCCAGTGTGAAGTAACAACCTTCTTCCTCCCAGCTCTGAAGTGTTTGAAGAAAAAAACCCAACCCAAATTGAAACTTCATCCTACCACTACCAGGCATAAAGAAAATAAAGGTTCAAGGCTGAACAATGTCAGAAACAGATGTACAATTCAGACAGCAAAACTCCTTTCTTAAAAATTGTCACGAAGCAAGTCACTACATTTATGTAAATAAGGTAAACATGAAAAGAAAAGAAAAAAAATCCAAGTGAATGCCTACCACACAGGTAAAAATTTCAACATATACATAATAAAAAATAACGGGTTTTGTAGGCTTTGGAAACTCAAAAGTCTTCCTGAAAGCTTTCTGAGAAACATACCCCAAAATCAATACAATACAATTTTGTGCCAACCTCCTTGTGCAGAGATGTAGATTTATTACAGACTTTATTAGCAAGCGGAGAGGCTTCCTCATCCTGTAGCCCATAACATCTCAAATGTTGGCTTTATACCACTGCAAAACCAGAAACCTAGCACTTCTATCTATCTATCTTTCAAGACTTCAGTTATATTTCCACAGACTATGCATTTTGGAAAACATCCTTCTACTTCCGCAGCCACGTCTGTGCTTCTGTAAAATCCCTTCCCCTTAATATTAACCTCATGCTTACACTATTCTTACCATAGATTCACATGCATTTCTACACTGGGCCCACTAAATGATTCAGAAAGCTGAAAACTTTCTATGCTAGCTGCAGGGACAAAGTCACTTCACCACTCTGTATTCTGCCTTTATATTAGACAGAAATTTTATTTAATTCTGGCTTAAAATGATAAAACTGTTCATAACTTTCATAACAATGATATCTTCTCTGAAAGGAAGCATTAAGAGAGTCTCATTTACATGACAGTTAGAAGCTATTGGGCTATGTGTTTTTTTTAATTTTAAAGTTAAAACAGGCTTGCCTTTGAAAAGTTTTATGCATTAATTTTATCTTAATCATATAAAAGGAGAACACTTCTTTTTTCAGCTGTTCAGTGTCATGTTATAATACACTGAACCAAGCACAAGTACCAATTTCTGTTTACCTAGTGCAGTAGGAAACCACAATATTTGAGAAACGGTCTTGCCTAACAAATTTCAACTGTTAGGAGAATTTAAAACTAAAGAAAAATATTCACTGTCTGTTCTATGTTTTATCCTCCACCTTTTAAGCATGCAGGAAAAAGCTGCTTTTGGCAAGGTCAGGCTGTGCTACTGTAATATCAAGCATATCCATACATGATTTCATGTACCTAATGCCTCCCATAAACAGAATTTATACAAAGGAAGTAAAACTGGAAAAATATCTCTCAGCCCGATTTTTGTGGGGAAAAAACCTATCCTGGACAGAAAGGGTTAAAAATGCAGCTGCTCTGCAGTATATTTATGGGCACACAGCCCACTTCATCCTTTCTCCTACTAGGAGACATTGTCCTACTAAGATGCAGGTGAGACGACTTTCTAACCTTTAGCATCTCCTCGTGTATCCCATAATGTCCATAGGAGCTGAAGTAAACACCATCCTCATCCTCCTGAAGGTCTGCAATGGCACTGGACGACGAGCTGCTCCTGACATCTGTGTTCATCACAAAATCCTGGGCAAATTGTCTGTAATCAATTTGAAATACACCCTTGGGACGTGTTTATGGGACCGTGAAAAGGAGGTGGGGAGGGGGTGGAGGGGAGGGGGTGGGAGAGAAAGGGCTTGGAAGAGGGGAGGAATCCAGGCTGCTCAGGGCTTTGCCAACAATGGGCCCGGCTTTAGGTGTGCACATCCTCCCTCTGCAGGCTCCTCCGGGCTGCTGCACCACTGCAATCCCTGCTTTCTGCTTACAGCAAGCCATTATTCACAGTGGGACACTGGGATTTAGCTTCTATTTTTAAGGAAGGATTCTCTGTATTTTGCTGGCTGGCACCAGAGGCAGCACCACAGTGCTCAAAGTGTTTCAGGCTGTGCAGTGCAGATATGGACTCACCACAAAGACCACAAGAACTACAGCCCACACAACGCTGTGTGACCGCTGGGAGGTAGAAGAAAGCATTTTAAAACCGAGCATGCGGATGAAAACAAAACAGAGCTTAACATTCAATTCAATACTTTAATTTCACGCTGCTTATTTTTCCTCCTCCGTGGTCTTGCATGGATTGTGCAGCCTGGAGAAAAGAAAAGGAGGCTCCAGAGTGACCCTACTGTAACCTTTCAGCACCTGAAGGGGCTGCAAGAAATCTGGAGAGGGACTTTGGATAAGGACATGGAGTGACAGGACAAGGGGGAATGGCTTCAAGCTGAAAGACAGTAGACTTAAATTGGATATTAGGAAGAAATTTTTTACCATGAGGGTGGTGAGGCCCTGGCACAGGTTGCCCAGAGAAGCTGTGGCACTTCCACACCCTGGAAGTCCTCAAGGCCAGGCTGGATGGGGCCCTGAGCAACCACGGCTGGAAGCAGATGACCTTTAAGGGCCCTTCTAACCCAAACCATTCCATGATTATGTGTTCCCTTATTCCTCAAAGCAGGTTTGATGACAAAATACACAAATCAAGGGTTTTATAATGAAAACGCAATTAGAGGTTGACAAGCAAACAGCTCATACTACACCCTCGAGGAAGTGAAAAACCTAACATGCTTCAGCCAGACAATATTCCTCCAAGGTCTACAGCCCAACAGCAACAAAAGTTGCAACCTAAACCACCCCAAGGCCACCAACACTTAACCTTTAGCTGTGATCATCCTTTCTTAAATGGGAACTTGACACACAGAAGCTGTAGGTAACACACCTCATTACCAGTACCATCTTTATAGAACAACACAACCAAAAAAAACCTATTTCATTCCTGGCATATCAAATACCTCTCTGCTCAACTAGTTTGGGTGTGGGAGAGAATATGGTAAGGGAATTTGTACTAAAATTCTGTCAGTATCAGAAACTTTCTATACTTGCCTGTACAGGTCTGGATCTTATTTTTAATACTGCTCTTTACTGTGGCAGTTTGCATATCCCTTACTTTCAGATAAGTACCTTAATGATAAAAATTAAATTTCATAAAATAGACTCTATGACATACGATTAAGTATAATTAGCATTGTGTGAGATTTAAATTATTTTAGAGTTAAAATTCTTTAAAATGGATTCAGGCAATAGTTCCTCAAGCCGACACGTGCAACAAAAGCACCAAAGAAACTCTAGAGACAGAGCTGCCCTCCAGTCTTTTTCATCAAGGAAAAAGGTAAGTAAAGATAAAAGCCATAACCTCTAAACAGGTGACAGATTAAAAAATTCACCATATACAAGCCATGTTCTTATATCTCTTTGTTACACCTAGTGCCAGAGGAGAACTGATTTATAGAACTATTACCACCTTTATTTTGCACAGGTTTACCTGAAAACATCTGTAGGTGGTCCCCTTCTGTGGAGGAACCTCCAGCACAAACCAGTATCACTGTGAATTACAGCACATTAACTACTACAGTGCAGCTGGTTCATCTGCCCATAACTTAAAGCTGTGCTGCTTCAGCAGATCTACATCTGGCTACTTCTGCTGCCAGACAAAGGAAGAGGCTGCACTGACAAAGGAAAATTAAAAGGCTCCCTCTTACGGGAGCAGATAACTTGATACACTAACCTCAGAAAAATAATAAAAATCTATAAGCCTGATTAAAGTTTAGAGCTCAAAACCAAAATCGCTGCTGATGACTTGAAGCGGGTTTTTTGTTTTAAATGAAAACAAATGGAACAAGAGGAAGACAAGAAGACACACAGGGAAAAAAAAAAAAGGCTAAGTTTTTAAAGTACAGTGCCAAACTTCTTTCATTCTTACTGTTTATGATCAATTCATGCATAATGTACCCAGAGGTACCAGAGAAGCACCGTGTGCTATAAAGTGCAATTTGCAAAAGGCAAACCCAACTGAAGGCAAACCTCCCTATTTTTGAAATAAATAATTGTTCTCAGCTGAGAAGATCTAAATACATTAATTTATTTTGGTCTACTTAGTCACTTATAGCACCAAGTGTGTAATATCAAAATGTACAAACCCTCTAATGTATTTTACAAAACAAGGTTTTTGTCGATTTCCTCACGAAAGAACATGAATTATTTGTCCAAGTCTCCTAAATACAACTTCAGTTCTTCAGTGCCCAATCAGTGTAACATGTTTGTACAGGATTTAATCCTACATGTCCCATTTTATCCATGACCATCATCAATCCATATTTTGCAGACCTCAAGATTTAGAAGTGGCCTGTACAGCTTCGGGGATGTCCTGATTCCTGACTGTGATGAACTGAATATTCTCACTAACAGAACCCACACCTAAGACTGAAAAGTAACTGAAAAAAGTCGATTTATTAATTTCACTGAGAGTTTCTCCAAACTGTAAGTGGACTCTACCACCAACAATCACTGTTTGGAGCCAACTCTGACAATGTCTACTGACCCTCTACAACACACAAGTCAAACCTGCAGTCCCAACACAAGTCAAGATGTTACCCTTCTACTACATCCCTGAATTTCTACTTGTCTTCTCACCTGAAGCACACCAAATAAGAACACCCCAAAACTTCAGTTCAAACACTTACTTCATTTTCTGAAGATCCTCCTGGGCTCTAGCCAAGGCTGCCTCTGCGGCTCTCGCTCTGCGTTCCGCGTGTTTTAACTGTTCAAGGAGCGCCGTGGTATCACTGAAACCATTACAGGGCACAGCGTTTGCAGGTCCACAAAGATCTTCTATATCTGATGAAATGAAGAGGGGAGGGGGGGGGGAAAAACCCACACCTACCAGTCATGTGTTGCTTCACAGCAGATCATAAACGTCAAATGGTATTTCTGTCTCGGGATGGTTTGTAGAAGCGGGTTGTTTTACGAAAGACGTGACTGAATTTAAGAGGACTAACTGCAGAAACAATGCTACTCAGAAAAAGCAAACATGCTAGAAGCAAGCTCTAAGTCAATAAAGCAAATAAATCCCAAATTCAGGCTTCTTTAAATACCAGTGTTTGATTATTCATAAAAGAGACATTTGGTTTAGAGTGCAATTGAGTTAATTACAGTTCTATCCTCCATTTTTCCAATTACGTTATTCTGAGGTCAAAAATGCCTCTTTACCATAGCAATGGTAAAAGGTAAGAAATTATATAAATTTAAAATGTCTTAGTAATTAGACACTTAATTTCACTAAAAAACCCATATATCTACTCTTTTTAATCATGGAAGACTACTTGAGCCATGGGACTGAAACTAAGCATCCAATATTTCAGAGGTTCAGCTCACCCCCATAACCCTTAAACAACTGCAACTGGCACCTCAAAGCACCTCTAAAGTCGGGCAAAGAGCACAGCAGGAGCTGATACAGGGAAATGTGAGCTCTCTGAAGCAACCTACCCATGTCCTCTAGCAGGCACTGTCTCTGCTGCCATGGAACAGGGTTCACTTAGAAAGGGGAAAAACTGCATTCCAGAGTGTAGAGAGAAGAAAAAAAACCCACAAGCCCTATAAGTACTTTATGGTTTAGCTGAAAGATGTGCAAGTGTAAAATGGAGAGTGGGAGGATCACGGGAAGCAAAAATAATTCCAAAAGTCAAACTGAATTCTCTCAAGAACATCTGACCAAATGTCATGAGAGAGAAACTAAGGCTGCTTGTTCTTATCCCCTAAAGAACCACTAAAGAATCAGGATTTTTGTAGTATCTTACACTGGGTTGGTCCAAAATAGAACTCGTATGAAAGATTTTTTTCAACGAGGCAAATTACTTGTAGCATACATTTTTGAATGAATGAATGAATGCATCAGAATTTAAATATCATCTATTTAAATATCTTAATATTGTGGAGCTTTAAAAAGCTTCACAAATCTCCCAGTGAAGTTCGGGTGGAACGTCTCTTTGACCAGCATAATTACTACACAGAGCACCTCTGCTATGACAATTTGCTACAATAAGCAGATAATAAAAAAGGGCTGTGGAAATCTCAGTCACTAAAAATCAAAGCACAAAATGCAGTAAAAATATCAGAGTGTAACCAAGTAACAGTGACATGAACTCTGGCAATACCACATTTACCCTACAGTGCAGTACGGTCATATTGAAACAATATTTACCAAACTGAAGGAGGAGATCATCTTCTAGTTCTGGTTTCAGATATTCCTCTCCTTCCCAAGGCAGTGGACTGCTGAGAGAACTCAAATAGGCTCCTGTTGGTTTCTAGACAGGAGAAGTGCACTTAATATAAGTCTGTTAGAAAACACCAGCCCTTCAGTTTCATTCAAGAAAAAAAGGCAAAGACCTGTTCTTTCACCCATTAAAACATACAGGGTGTCATTGCAGGAGCTTTGTAGCACAGGCTGAGAAAGTCCAGGCAGCAACAGCATCAAGGAATTCAAGCAAAGCACTGGCAGATATTGAAGGACACTGGCAGTATCCTGTCCTGTTTGCATCCAGCCAGTTAATACTTGGTCAAGAAAGGAAAGGTCAGATTCTGGACTTCAATTTTTGCCTTTCTGTGTTTACTCTGCATAAACAGTTATGCATTAAGTAACCATTTGACGATTTAAGTTAAAAAGTGCTTTAAAAGGTTAGGTTGGTATTAAGTTTAAACCTAAACTTCTAGGGAACAACCAAGGAATATGTTTCAAAGTCACAGAACACACAAAATACACCCAGGCCTATCTTAAAACTGAAGGCTCCCATGAGCTTTACTGATTCTTGGCATCATTTTAGCAGAGATTAAAGTTCTGTAGCCTGAGGGATCAGGTGTTGTCCTTACTAAGTCAGGGGTCTGGCCAGCTCACACCCTCAGAAAACATTCTTTTACACCAACACACAGGCAAGGACTTAGAAACTTCAGTTATTGAGAAGTGAAGCCACTTCTGAAGCAAGACAGCCAAGGCCAAGACCAATTAACAAAACAAGATGAGATTACACAGCACAGAGGCTTTTTACAAGCCTGAGCATCCTGTTCTGAAAACAATAAAACTCACATAAATTTAGTACACTTTAAATTAAAACAACCTCATACCTAAAGAAACCAATCAACAGCTGTTTTAATTCCTTTGATTTCTTATTTCCAGAATTACAATACAAAATCTCATGCAGTTATTAAAAAAGGGCAAACTGAAAGCACAGCACCTTGACTCCCTATTTTCCAGACACAGATTACAGAAGTAGTATGGGGCACACCCACCTTTAATCTGATGAAGTTTATTAGTTTAATGTATCCATAGAAATCGAGTCCTAAGAGGAAAAAAAAAAAAAGGAAAAAAGGGAAAGAGTTTGCATTACAGAAAAGCACACATACTTTACAATTAAATGAATACTAATTGCTTGTTGAAGTGGCCAGCTTCCCATTGGGGTGTACATCACTATCTAGTGCAGTATTCCTATCTTAAAGCCTGTCATCTATGTTTTTCTTCTCCTTAGGATTAAACCAGGAAATTCTCACCCTCAGGACAAATACATTTGCCACAAATTAAGAATGGAACACATCAAACTGGGGATTATGAACAGGGATTTCATTCATTTGGCAAGCAAGTCCATCAGGACAGCCACTAGCGACCCTGCTGATATTTTAGGCTCTTGTTCACTTTTAGCTTTCTGCTTAACAGAATTTAAATTGACTCTACTCATCAAGAATACATACCAACATTGATTTAAAATTGCCACCTAGGCAGAAATAACAGTGGTTTAAGTATAATTAAGTACTCTCCCCAACAAGAGCAAAGATAAACTCAAATTATTTACCTTGGATTTTAGACAGAAAACAGACCAGATCTTACAACTTCACAGGCAGGTTTCTAAATGCTTCACGTAGTTGCCATCCTCTCACCTCACACGCTCCTTTTCAGTGAACACTCTTAAAGCAGCATTTCTCCAACACTGTTTGCCTTCCCCTGCTTTCCACTTTTCCTCTGTATGCACTAAAATACATATTTCAGGCTCAAGTTGTGAAAAAAACAACTTACCATGTTTCTGGATCACATCACTAACGTTAAACTCGTGCTCTGTTTTGCAGTGGGAGAACACAACTTCAGCAGAAGTGAACCACCTGTAAACAACAAATTATTAAATGTGCAATATCAACGCATTTAGGAGTTCTAATTTCCGAGTTCTCTGTGCTCTCTTCTGGCCTGCTAGGCAACACATTCAGAACACATTTTCAGCCTTTGAGAAGGGATGCACAGGCATCCCTTCATTCATGTGCCTCACAAAGAGGCTTTCACCTTGTTCACCAAACATTTTGAAACGAAAGACAACAAACAGAAAAATTTTGTTTGACAAAGCCACAAACCCCGCCAACTTTCAAAAAATTCCTGGAGAGCTGAGGCTGCGTTAAAGATGAAATCTAAGAACCACATACAGAAGGTGGGTGGGCTGGCTGGATCTGCTGCATCCAAATAAAACCCCTCATCTATTTACTGGCAATGGGACAAAATGATGACAGGGAGAAAAAGAGTAAAAAAAGGAAAGAGAAAAGCCTCTACACTGCTCCAGGGTGAGGGGATTACTCTCTTTCCATGTTATCCTCTCCTTCACTCTGCACCAAACACACCTTTGGCTCGATCAACAAGCTTTAAAGCGCTTGAGAGAGCAAGTCTGGGATCTGGAGCTGAAGTGAGGCTGGAAAGGGCTGCCAAAGGGAAGCGTGGGCTGCAAAACAGAACTTTTTCATCTGGGCAGGGGCAGGTTTTGGTTTGTTGGTGTTTTTTTGTTTGTTTGTTTGTTTTTGGAAGGGGGGCATTATTTGTTTGCGGAATTTGTTTGTTTGTTTGAACAAGAACTCAGCACGAAACTCGCGTAAGGGCTATGCTGCGAAGTAGTACGGGACTCAGTATATTACACACACACGCGTGTTTACACCTCTACAGAAGCGCCTCCGCGAAACGCGCATCGTGGAGCAGCCTGAGGGACGCGGCCCGATTTCAGGTGCTACGGAGCACGGCTGAAACCTGGGACGAATCACCTCCCTGGCGTGGCCGCGGGCCCACCCTGGGCTCAGCCCAGCTCTGCCCTCCCCAGCCCAGCTCAGACAAGCCGAGCTCAGCCAAGATGAGCCGAACCGAGCCCACCCCAGCCCACTCGTGACTGGTCCCCCAGCCCAGGCGGGCGCACCGAGAACGCACCGCGGTGTGCCCCCCCACCTCCCCATCCCGCGCCTGCCCCTTACCCATCGCAGAAGAGGCAGCGCGTCCTCTGCCCCACGGCAGCGCCTTCTTCTTCTTCCTCCTCCTCCTCGTCCTCCTCCCAGGGCTCCTCGCCGTCGGACAGGGCGGGCATCTCCTCATCCCGCCCCGTGTCCGTGTCCATCTCCACCTCCATGTGCCGCCCCCCCCCCACTCCACGCTTGGCGCTTCCGCCCGCGGCCGGCGGGGCGGGGCGGGCGCCTCGCGCGCCCCCTGGCGGGGCCCGCCGGGCATGGCGGCCGCTGAGGGGCCACGCTGGGCGATGCTTTTTAAAGTAACTTTGAGTTCTCGTGGCTAATTTTTTTTGCTCTTCCGGCGGTTAGTTTGGGGTTTTTTATGAGTGTGCTGCAGGCTCCAGCCCCAAATCCGCACCTTTACCAAAAAAAACCAAAAAAAAGCAAAGAGTATTTCGCTAACCGTGGGCAGATGCGTGTTGCCGATTGTCCACCGCGCCCTCATCAGGTCAAGCTGTAAGCTTCAAGAATTCAATGTGTTTAGGATGCAGGGCTCATGTGAATTTATCGCAGAAGGAAAAAAAAAAAAGAATAAAATTTTCATGAGTGGACCAAACCCACGCCTTTTTTTTTTTTTTTTTTACTTTCTTTAGGTACTTGCCTCCTTTTTCTGCTCGTTGAAATTGTCTATGATGACACCGATGGAAAGGTTCAAGCTAAAAAAATTGGATCCGAAGACGATAAAGATTACAAAGTAAAGATATGTACAAAGGTTACCTTCATACTCGGGCTGATCCAAAACCTGCAAAAAAAGGCACAGATACTAAACCGTAGTTTAACAGTGAGCACAAAATATATGCTGGATAAAATATAGGGCTCTATCACTCTGATCTTTGCTTCTTACAGTCAAGATCTGACATATCCATTCCACTGACTTTCAGTCTGTTAAGTTATATTCTTGAGAAAGAGCTTTGCTATCAAACTTGACATTTCGTTTTTAAAAATGTAACTGGCCTGTACGAAGATAGAATAAATACAGAAAACAGCAAGTTGTGATATTCCACAAATCAAGCACACCAACTATCAAAAATTTTTACTATATATGCATTTCAGCAAACAGAGGAATTAACGTTCACTGGCTACAATTTGCCTAGTTCTCTTACTAATTGATATTCTTCCCAAGCCTTTTTACCCTCCCCCTAGGTCATCGAAACATGTCAAGCCCCAAACCTTAACAAGGCAATTCTACCAACAAGTAATTTGCTTTTCTGACACCTGAACATCACTTAGAGCTCATGAGCTGCTCTCTGTTTCACCAATTATGTCCCTCTTCTTGTTGAATAGATTGGAAAGTATGCAAAGATCCAACGTTAAAGAACATCCTCCCTTAAGAAAATTTTATGTACTCCACATTTTGCAACAAGACCGTGGTACTAAGTGCCACGTACAGATAGTACCTGACATTTCAGCTGGATTACTGAAGTTCCTTCACTTTCTCTCTATTTTGTGCCTGACAGAAACACACAGCTCTTCAGAACCAAAGGGTGCTGGTCCTCGTGGTTGCTCCTGCGCGGGATGGGATGGAGGAAACAGTCAAAGCCGGAATTTTTCCAGTTTGTCCCATCAAGGTGTCCAAGTTCACATCTGTGCTACTACAAACATTTCCAAAAATAATGAAGTTAGTGTTTCACCTTGAACCTGACTACTGGCAAGAGTAGAGGTACTCTGGGCATCCTGCTAGACCTGGTCTGAGTCAGACGGGTGAACACTGTGTGTTTGTGCAGTATTTATTCCCTAATATGACATAACTTCAGAAATCTCCCACATCTTATCACTGCTGTTAGTTCAACTGCACCTCCTTAGGCACTGCACATGGATTCATACATGGCATGGTACTCCCTCGACAAATTAGAGAGATGGGAAATCACCAACTGTATGAAGTTTAACAAGGGCCACATTCTGCACCTGGGACAGGCAACCCTGGTCGTGTGTATGAACTGGGGAACGAGAGGCTGGAGAGCAGCTGCAAAAAGGGGCCTGGTCAGTGGCAAGTTGAGTCTGAGTCAGCAGTGCCCTGGCGGCCTGGAGGGCCAACCCTGTCCGGGGGGACATCAGGCTGGCAGGGCCAGGACCCTGGATATTGTCACAGTTTCGGACACCACAATATTAAAAAGACATTTAGCTATTAGAGAGCATCCAGAGGAGGGCCACGAGGATGGTGAAGGGTCTTGAGGGGAAGCCGTGTGAGGAGCAGCTGATGGCACTTGGTTTGTTCAGGCTGGAGAAGAGGAGACTGAGGGGAGACCTCGTAGTAGTCTACAGCTTCCTCATGAGGGGGCAGGACTCGAGGAGACAGCATGAAGCTGAGCCACAGGAGGTTTAGGTTAGATATCAAGAAAAGGTTCTTCACCCAGAGGGTGGCTGAGCACTGGAACAGGCTCCCTGGGGAGGTGACCACAGCACCAAACCTGTCTGAGTTCAAGCAGCTTTTGGACAACACTCTCAGGCTGAATCTGCAGCAGTGCTGGTTATGTAGCACTCAAATGGAGGTACCAACTGTTTGTTAATATAATTGCTGCTCAGCAGAATGATCTTTGCAGCTTTTGAGTGTTTCTAGAGGGGTGGAGCCAAGGGTCAGATTGTAATCTCATTTTTACATGTGCAGATTCAGTGGTGTTTGCTGAATATAAAACCAAAGAGATTTGAATTGATCTGTAACCAAAAGAAAGAAGGGCTATGCAGAATTCAAGTAGGAGGCCTGAAACTCTGAATTTCCTTGGCTGGTTTACAATCTCTGATCTCTCATCTCTACTTGTATATCAGTCCCATGTAGCTTAATTTTCCCTTTTACCCTCCTGTCTCTCAAAGCTATCAAAGAAGGCTTTTGAGTACGGTAATTGAACACATTAGGCTTGCTTAGTAATACGCAAATCCAGAAGGACATGAAAAACCTAAATATGGAAACTTGTTTCAGATAAGACCAGAACTCCAGGTTTGATACAGGATCTAAGAGCTACCAAGTCAGCCACCTTCACAAATTCTGCGCTATGCTTTGTTTTTAAATTCTGTATCCGTTCAGTATTACTTCTACAGGTATGACAAGACACCACCAATTCTGCAAACACTCTTCAGTCGTGTAAACCAAGTGCTTCTCGTGGATTTTTTTTCCTTACATAGCGACTCAGTACTAGCCACTGAATTAGGGTCAGTGCAAAGTGCTGACTGAGTGCTGCACACCCTTAACTCAGAGAGGAAATCTAGTCAAGGTAGATGCTTACGCTGCTAAAGTAGGATCTGATCCCATAAGAGAAACACAAGTGGCACAGAATGATAAAACACACTTTCCCCCTAGCCTTGCTCAAGCAGCCAAGAGCAGCAATAGATTTAACAGCCGCTGCTCTGCCGGTGGTGCCCGGGCCGATAGCAGCAAAGGCAGAAACAGCAGCTTCTTTGTGTTTTCCTGAAATTCTCCTCTTCCCCCTCCCTCCACCCCCGGAGGGGCACGGGGTCACTGATTGCATAGTCTTTGCTCCATTGCACACCCTCAGCTATTGTTGAGTCCGCTCAGAGAGCGGCAGACTGAATGTGCAGCACAGCCTTGTAACCGAGCCTGCTTTTTCATTATTGTGTGAATTAAGGATTCTCAATAAATGTAAAGCACCTGTTCATTTGGGTCGGGGTAGATGGCACGCTGGGGGAAGGCTGTACGAAATCCTGCAGCAGAAGGGTATAACTTACGCTGGGTACCCTCTTGAAATATGATCATCTTTGTTGCCATCTCCTAATCCTTGTAAAGGGATTTGCATGGTACAGGAAGATTTACAATGTAATGGATTACTATTTCATAATCTGGGCCAAGGGGAAGAAACTTCAAATATTTACCTTTTTTTTTTTTTTTTACCGCATTTCAAACTTTTTTTTCAGTTCTGGAAACACAACACTGGGGAGACTGTTAGAGGGTGTTTGAACACAAAATATGGTATCAACATATCACTTGTGGGCTTTGTCTCATCTGGATTTCCAAGCGTGTGTAACTTTATTCTCTACCTGCGTCACTCTTTTTTGTGGCCACAGTGCTTGTCATTATTCAAAAGCACAGAAAGTTTGTTAATAGAAGCTGTGCAGGAAATGAACGAAATATCTTTTAAACTATTATTAAATGGCTGTGACTTTACCCTGTGTAAAATATATTAGAAAAAAAGAGAGAGCAAATGTTTAAAAAATAATATTAAAAAACCAAATCACTTCTTATTTGTGTGGTCAGAGCTATGTTGTTGTTTTTGGTGGTTTTTTTTTTTTTTTCAGTTTGAACCACTCAAGGTCACCAAAAGAACAGAAAGCTGCACAGGACCCTGCAACTCAAAACTGAAAATAATTTTTCAAAAGTATTTTCTATCTACAAAGCCCAAACTGCCTGAAATTTTACTGCTGCATTCCTTGGATACTAAAGCCAGCCTACTACACGTGGGTACCAAGAATGACACTCCCGAAAGCACAGAGAATGAGCACAAATGCTCTCATGCTCAGTCCTCCCAGCCCAGTTTGTTGCAGTTTGTATTAATTTACTGATGCAAACTCCCCGTAGCCAGTGGTCTAAAAGCTCACAGTGGCTTTTTCATCAAGCCAGTGAGCAGGTTCTTCCCAACATCCCACAGCAGTGAAAAGCAGCCTTAGGTGCAACAGAAAGAGGTACAGAAACCTCCCATTTTGCAGAAGGGCATCACTGCAAGTAAAACTTCATTAATGCCAGTGAGCTCTTTATGCCTTTATTGCCCTCACAGCCAAAGGGTGGATTTAGAGTCTGTTAAGACAATAAAAGCTTGGAAGGTTTAAATTAAGCATAAATCAGAAAATTTGAGTACCAGTTTGTATACAGAGGGAATGAGCTGTAGCCAAAACAAATTTTTTCATTCCTATCATCAGGAAAAGCTAGTAGTATTGAAAGCAGAATTGCTAATCACAGTTCATATGCTCAGTCAGTTTAAGAGTTTCACAAAATGATGGCCATATTGCCCTTAAGGGACAGGGTTTGGTTTGTTGAGGTTTTTTCTGGGGGGGTGTTGGTTATTTGGTTGGGTAGTTTGGGTGAGTGGTTTTTTGTTTGTTTGTTCTGCTTTTACAAAAACTTAGCCTGGAACTAGAGTTAGGGCTAAGTTACAAAGTATGGGACTCAGTATGTTTTTATGT